ATGTTTAGATGGATGTGATGTGGATGGATGGATGGGTGTTTGAAGATATCTCTAGAACGGCTGAAAGAACATATAGGCTACACTAATTAAGTTTTTTTATATATCCACGCGAACGGATTCGCGGGCGACAGCTAGTATAAATTAAAGGTTCTTTTTAAAGTTACACTCGGCTAATTTCCTAGTTTACTTCTTATACCAATAGATTCTTTTCATTGTCTAGATTCTTACAATTCCTATATAATAAGGTATTTCTTGAAGAGGTATCAATGTTGTCAGGATAATTTTTACTAGGCCTAAAATATACCCCAGTATCAGAGAAAAGAGTTGAATTACCATATTTCTCGTCTTCTAAGATAAACATTTTTCAACAGTCCAAATGTTGTCCCAGCTGGCGTGGTTCATAATGACGGTGACGATTGGAGTGTTTCTGTACCAACTGGTCATCATGCAGCTGATATACTTTGTGTTCCTGCGTCGGAACCCCTACAAGTTCTACTTCGGCTTATCGCATGCGATGCTGACGGCTGCAGCCACCGCTTCGGCGTAAGAATTCTTTCCAAGAAATTATCTATTATTACTATCGTGATGTCAAGAGCGGCCAACTTTTTATTAAGTCCAGGATTCGATCCCCGCATGTGACAAAATATGTTCATCTATTGTATAATTTCAAAAATCGTCAGATAACTATTGTATTGTGCATCGAATTAATCAAAGTGGACCAGGGTTATAGTATTGGGCCTAGCTAACACTTAGGGTAGGCTCGAACCCCTTCATGGAGACGTAAACAAGCTAATACTATACCTGTTCCTGTAATTGAAGTGGTTAAAACGTCTTTTAAATTTATATTTCAGAGCTGCAGCTCTTCCAGTAACCTTCCGCAGCATGGAAGGTCGTCTGAAAATAGACCCTCGTATCACGCGATTCGTGCTTCCTATTGGCTGTAATATCAATATGGACGGCACTGCACTGTTCCTCTCTGTATCTAGTCTCTTTATATGTCAGATGAACGACATGGACCTTGGTTTTCCTCAGTATGCTGCTGTACTGTAAGTATTGGATTTCCTTCAACAGAAAACAGAAGGTCAATAAGCCTTATTCCTACTTTGTCTTGGTAACTTACTTAAGCGATTGAAATAATGACTAGTTTCAATTGACTTGTGATGTCTTTTACAGCTTGTCAGCGACTGCGGCATCGTTATCGTCTGCGTCGGTACCGTCCGCAGCAATGGTGCTGCTGCTGGTTGTACTGGCCACGGTGGACGCACCAACGCATGACGTATCCCTGCTCTTTGCCGTCGATTGGCTTGTGTGAGTTTTTATATTATGTTATTGGGTGTGGTAGTTGACTTGTGTGAATTGACACGGAATAGACGAAGGGTTGGGGCATTGTCCTTGCTATAAATCTAGTGTATAACTAATGAGTAATCATAATTGTTAATTGTCAATATGTCTATTCGTTTAATTATTTGTAAGAGAAGGGGGTAAACGAGCAGAGGGAACATCGAATTATTCATCGGCGCCCATCTGCAATACAGAGGAACTGCAGATGCGAGCTTTGTGCACTCTAAACTAATTAATAATTGAAATTTTATGAATTTTGACAATGGTTAGTACTAGAGGATTTTTCACTTATTTTATGCAATATTTACAGAGATCGTATCCGCACTACTAACAACATGCTGGGTGATTGTTATGCTGCAGCTGTCGTAGAACATCTCTCAAAGAAGGAACTTATGGCCTGTGATTCAGCTTTGACAGTCAGTATTTGGATTTTGTTTAGACTGCGACTTACTATATAGACTATTAGCAGTCACCCGGGACTACATCCGCGCGGGGTGATAAAAAACATAATTAGTAGCCTATGTATTCTTCCACACTATTTTGTATATGTATACCAAATTTAATGGAGATCCGTTTAAACGTTCTGGAGATACTTTCAGACAAACATCCACCCATCTATTCATCTATACATTAGAATTTATAATATTAGTAATAAGATTGCTTATTGATTCTTACTCTAACAAAAGCACCTCTAATTTAATCTAAAACTGTTTCGTTCCAGGAGCCAACAGAATCTAACGGCTTGCTGCAAACCTCAAATACAGAAGTGGACTTGGAGATCATAACATCAGGAAATAAATCTATAGCATCTGATGATGTCATCATTGATATGCATTTACGGAAGAATTCCACTGCATCTAACAAAGCTTAAGGAAAAAAGGTCTTTTAAATGTTATTTAGTGAGTAATGTTTTTTTTCAGTAATCATTTTTCTTGTACGAAATATCAATTTTCTAATCCCGATTCTAGGACTTCTTGAACTTTCTGTAACTTGGTAATGCGTTTAGTCTCCATGTATGTATGTGAATGAGGTGTTGAATAAACTATATTTGATTCTTTGGTTTTGAATAACGTTCTGAAATTAAATTATTCAAACTTTCGTGAGACACTCACGTATATTCATCCGGTGACGGCACAAACTAGTTTCAAGCCCATCGGGGGCCTTCATCAGGGTGAATAGGACTGGTATTATTTGGCCGCGGACGAGAGCGAAAGCGTGCCCGTGGTCCCGTCCCGATGCGTTGGAGGAACAGAGGGGTTTAGTGGGTATGCCTCCGCTATGGAGGAGAATCCCACATATCTACCACGTCCCCCCGGGGCGCGGAGTATGCATAAAGCATTCCCCTCTGAAAAAAAAGGACTGGTATTATTTCGCGGACGCGGCCCGTTGCTCACCGGCTAGTCGGTGCCACCGGACGAATACACGTAAGTGTTTAGCCGTTTTTATATAAGTTTAACATTCTTGAAATTCATACCCGGTTTTATCGATAGTCTTTCCATTTATTGATGATGTTTCGGTTGTGATAGAAAATATTTTTTTTTATCTATTGCTTTTACCTATTAATTTGCATTGCATTTATAGTGAAAGTCCAAAGGCCGTTGTAAACAATATTACTAATTTTACATTATTATAATAGTTACAATACCTAAGCGCGAATGACGTCCTTTCGTTACAAAGTCTAGTGACAGAATGAATAGCGGAGGGACATAAACGTCGACATTTTAGTAAGGCTAGTGTTGAGTCAATACACTAGCTCATTTCCGGATTTTCTTCCTCCTAACACTAATAACAACGCATTTGGACTTTGTGCTTTGTTAGTTGCAATTTTGAGTTTTGGTTTTTCTTTCTTTAATTTAATTTTGGTATTTGGCTTCTTTGGTAAAACGATATCTAATTATATAACCTTTGTATTATCTATTTGTTTTTTTTTTAATTTTACAATTGTTTTCTTTACGTTTAATAATTCTGAATAAAATCAAAGATTAACCTGTATGCTAAGTTTAAATATAACGTTATATGTATTGCTTAGGGGCCTTATAGTTTTCATAAGTTTTTATTCTTGAAAATATTCAAGTTATTTTGTAAATATCAAAATTTTAAATTTTTGAAAAAAAAAAACTTTTTGTGTAATTTGTTTAGTAAATAGGCTTTGCACTACGATGGTTAATATTAATGGAAGATAATAATGGAATTCATAATCAATAGTGTAGTTTGTTGGTATATAAATATGTCTTATCATTAACTTAGTATACGATAATGTAATCATCAGCTCACTATACGTCCCCACTGAGGGTCTCGGAGCCTACTCTAAGTTAGGGGAGACCTGGCCATAGACAACCACGCTGGACAAGTGCAGGATCATCATACATATGGATAAAGTAATAAAATAGTTTAATTGTAATACGAATTTAAGTTGATACAGATTATAAATTGGACATTTCAAAAGTAATTAAATTGTAAAACAAAGGACGGAATATTTCGTGGATAAGAATAGATAGGAAGGAAATATCTACAAATAGTTTGTCAGAGAATGACTATGGGTGTCTATTGACACCAAGTGTAATCCAATAACTAACAAGTGTAAAAAAATATGGGCCTAACCATAAAAAACCCAGACAGTTTAATTCAAATTTTAGCATAAGCATATGTCAACCGTGGTATGAGACATTAATAATATTGATCGAAATATGATTACGTTTTTTTTTTATATCATAAGGTGGCAAACGAGCGAGCGGCCACCTGAAATAGCTGAAGTAGCGAAGTGACCGTTGCCCATAGACATACGCAATTGCATACGCGTTGCCTACCTTTAATCGACGAAGGAGAGGATGCACAGAAAGAAAACATTTCTATGCATCCTTTCATCCGGAAGGTCCACTTCCACTTCCCATCCTTACCTTATAAGAAAAAGAGTGGGATGGGAAAGAGGACTAAATTAGGCCTCCGGGAAGCACACTCATTAGACGAAACACGGAATTGCTTCCACTTCACGCCTGTCTTCTGTGTGGTCGTGGTATTTCACCGGGCGGGCCGGGTTAATTCGTGCGAACATGTTAAAGCGGGCTCTACCACTGTTAAAAGTTCCGAAAGTCTATCTTTAGGAATACGATCTTGGCAAATAATATACCGGAAGCAGTTTTGGTTGATTAATATCAACCGGCGTTCAAAAGGTTAAAACATGTGTTTAACTCAACAGTGTCGGACTGTATTTTTTGGATTAATACTTTTTACAGTGGATGGTTAAGATGTAGATAAAGATTGAAAATTCGAACAACAAAGTACCAGACTGAGCTAACGGGAGAAATTTAATAATAAGAATAATCTATTAATTATTCTTAAGCAATATAATACAGGTTATCAAGGCCTATACGTAATGTTTTTGATACTAGAAATTATTTCAAGTCAATATTTAGCGAATGAACGTGCTTATTTGTGGGCTTGTAATACCATGATTTTCTACTAACGAAACATTCTTGTTAAAAATATTTTCATCTCTCTCATTTGCTTTCAAAAGTTAGAGATGGTAATATGTTTTTTGTAGCATGTTTCGGCAGTGAAAACGCACGGTAAATAGCTGTAGACTTAGATCCAACTGTGATAATGTATCGTATTTTAATGATTTGTGTGTTCGATCTTATATTAAATAAAACAATTACACATTGATTTTAAACTTTTATTCGTGTTTATTTTAACATCGCAGCCAATCGTTGGAACGTAATAGTTCATAAAGTAATAAGTATATACAATTACTACCATTTATATCAAATTTAATTCAAATTGTTGGGAATTAACGTAACTGTAGAAAACAAAAAAAATGTAAGATGATAATAATCCAAAGATAAACAATATTAAGTAGTTTCCTACCAAATATGGTTCGCAAAAGGCAGGCGGCTGGCTGTAAAATTAAGCCAAAACCTTAAAGTTCTTAAAATCTTGTGCACCGACCCTACTTGAGTAGTATTATGAAAATTTATAATTTAAGCTTTCTATAAAATTTACACATTTCATAATTTAATTTTACGGCATTGTATTTCCTATTTTAATATTTAATTTATTTTAAAATATTGTGCCAAATTTGATATAAATGGTCAAAATATCTTCAACGCTAAGATGAAAATCACAGTATAATATTTTCTACAATGTACATTTTATTCAGATATAAAGGCACGAAGTTCACTTACATAGGAGATTTACACAAGTACGGTATTTTACATTCATTTAAAGTTTACTTAATTTTTAAATTGCAATATTTAAAGTACACTTATAGCTTAAAGTAAAGCTTTCAGTTTGTTTCTATAGTAAAATTAACATGGCAGTCTTCATTTTATATAATACAAGGCACTAAACAGACTAATATTTACATGATATAAAAATTAAACCCGAAATAATATAGTATTTACAATTTACCGTAAAAATCGGTAATAAGCGCTTACAAATCACTTTGAGCATATTCAGGCAGCAACTTTTACAAATAACATGCACAAAATGACATACAAAATACAAATAAACTAAACCGATTGCATCGGCAATCAATAAATATTACTTTATACCAATACTTATAGGCAAAACAGTCGTGAATATATATACAATCTTCTAAAAAAAATATTATCTAATTTCATATTCTCATCGTTGAATGCGGAGGTTTTCTATTAACGGGTGCAGGAGGTAGTCCTGGACCAACTAAGGGAGACATTGAAGGAGACCTCGTAGCTAGAGGTGATAAAGATGGTGAGAATGATGGGGACATTGCTGCGGCAGCTGAAAATCCCCCAGGAACATCGTGACTTATAGGAGACCTGGGTAACAAATGCTGCGGTTGCCTACATGATAGGGAAGGAGCTGGACAACTTCTTGGGGCAACCGTTGTCAGCAAAGGTGGTGGTACACTTTTCCCACCCGATATCGAAGTCCCCTTACTCTTTGCACTAGAAGCACCACTATTACCACTTTGAAGCGAAACTGCATCGTCCTTCAAATGAGCTATTTCAGAGAATACATGAGCTAATGGTTGATAACGAGGCCCCCAGTCGAGGAGATAATCCCAATTATAACTACCGGTTAGTTCTTCTTCAGAATGAACAATAGAACTGAGACTTCCTGTCATAGAAGGTCCAGCGGTGGGAACAGCATTATTTTCTCCTGGAGCACTTGGGAAGGAACCCAGAGCCATAGCTCTATCCACAGCTGCACTTGCTTCATCTGCACTACTTGCTCTTTCACTACCAGTTACTTCGTTTAATTTCGCATAAATAAGATTGGTAATATCATTCTCGTGAGCGCCATCTTCGTCAAACATATGCATTGAATCTATGGGGCCATGATGTAACATGGTGTCTTTGTTTCCAACATTTTCTGAACATCTTCTAGATGATGTTGATGCTCCCCCACCAGTGCCAGTCTCAACGATACCAAGCCTTGCTAAGTATTCTTGGGTATTATGTACAGAAACGTCCGAGAGATTATCATCATCTACTCCGTTAGATTGTCTATGCATACCCGATTCTCTTTGTAATGGTCCTTCATTTATCATTCTGATTTCTTCATCCTCACCGTCTTCTCCTTCCTCAGCTGATCCTCGACCACTCGATCCAGATTGTTCAGATCCTGAGAGTTCTGAGGTAGTGGCTGCCCCAGAATTTGAACTAGCTGTGTGAGGACCGTACGGTGGAATTTCGTCATATTTCGGCGGGGCAAACTGATTTGCTGAATTTACTGGACCCGTGTTTCTTATAGGTATTGTATCGAATCCACTAGGATCTACGTAGCTATTTGTGGCTCCTACTCCTTCAGAACTTAAGCCTGGTTTATTAACTTTTTTATGCCTTTTATTCTTCATGTGAAGGAACAAAAACGCAGCCGCAAAAATAATAATGATAAAGATGAAAGCGATTAGTAATCCTAATGCCCAATCCGATAGTCCACTGCTTTGCGCGACAGATGTGTCATTTAATAGGTTGGTATTATCAGAAACCACCGCTAGTGGATCTAGTAGTATTTCCACGGCTGTTTTATTTGTTAATGACCCTTGTCTACCAGAACTTGCAGTCACAACTAAACTGATTGATTTGTCAGATCCAAATAAACTTTGAACTGAGTCAACTTTCTTCTTTAGAATTATGACTCCCGTTGTTCTATTAATTTTAAAGTACGAATGAGAAGTTGATAATTGGTATACAATGCGTCCATCGATACCTTTGTCTTTATCTGTTGCAGTTGCTTGTCCTATAACATAACCCATTGGCAAAGATCCAGATTTGGGGACTCCGAAATTGTATGTTTTCTGTGTAAATTGTGGATAGAATTCATCTCGACTCTCTACATCAATTCGTACTTTTACAGTAGAACTTTTTCCTCCTAGATCTGATGCTTTGATAGAAAATTCATACTTATTTTTCTGTTCGTAATCGAAAATCGCATTCGAATTCACTAATCCTGAGAATGAATCAATTTGAAACATTTTCCATGATTCATCATTTCTGTTATAATTAGGTGCGCTAGGAACTATGGAATAGTTCAACTTTCCGTATTTTCCTTTATCTAAATCCGTAGCTCTGGCAGTAAATATAGAAGTTCCAACTCTTTCATTTTCTCCGATCGTTTCAAAGTATTCAGAAACCGGGAATGTTGGTACATTATCGTTTTCATCGAGTACATCAATTTCTATGTACGCTGAATTGCACAGGCACGGTGTACCTTGATCACAAGCTACGATTATAAGTTTATATTTGGGATTATGTATATCATAATCGAGGGTTTTATTAACAGTCAGAATACCAGTAGTTGGATGTATGTAGAATAAGTTTTCATCATCACCAGAAGTAATGTTATAGACAATAACTGAGTTTGGTGTACCGAATAGATCAGCATCTGTTGCTGATACCTGAGTTAGAGTGTATCCAATTTTCACATTTTCACTGACAGTGATATCAAAATCACTCAATGCAAATATAGGTGCATTATCATTTGCATCTGCTACGGTTACAAATATTGTTATAGATGTTTTATTTTGATTGTAGGACAAAACTTTTCCTTGTTCGACTGCTGCCAATCCCAATACATAAGATTCTTGAACCTCTCTATCAAGTCTGTTTACCAATATTAATGCACCTTCCATTGTAACATCAAATACGTCGCCATCATTTCCAGATATTATATGAAAATCGAGATTGTATTTTTTTAGTACATCATTGATGCTACCGATTTGGAGAAGAGACGATCCTTTTTCTGTATCTTCGTTGACAGTGATTCTGAAAAAAGATAATATTATTTATTAACATCCAATACTTTTTCCTTAATTCAACACGCATTTTTATAAGTTTCGATTTTTAAATAAATCAATCAAAATATGTGCTTTAAACTAACCATCCCATCGGATTTGTGGTAATTACAATCACAATTTAAATTGTTGAATACTGTGTTATTTTATTCAAACAATGAAATATGTAAAAAAAAGTACCTGTAAGTGTCTTGTCCAATAAATGGTTTGATTTCCGAAGAAGCGCCTGTGCTTATTCTAACAGATGCTACTGCACTTTTGTTTGGTTTGCCTTGGTCTGTAGCCAACACAGCTAACTGCGTATCCCGTTGGTTACTTGTTAAAGCGCTGTAGTTTACGAACATAGCTCCGGTCACCGTGTCTATGTGGTATCCATCACTAGGACTAAGAAATGAGTACGAAACTTGGCCATTATCGCCGCTATCTCTGTCAGTAGCGCTAACTTTGCCAATTTCATGTGTGCCCGTACCTTCTGGAAGAAAATAGAAAAATATTGATTAATTATCGAAATATTATAAATCCGAAATTCTTTTATGTCTCATCTTTACTATAGATTAATTTTACTCTATTTTAAAAGATAATTTTTAAGCTAAAAAAAAATAATTAGAGTACTCAACTAACCTGGTAACACTTTATTGTATGATATTTCGTCGAAAACTGGCGTGTTATCATTGACATCAGTAACCTTGATAGTTAACGTAGTCTTCGCCACATGTTCGGTATCAGAAGCTGTGATGTTCACCTCATATTGCTTTTTAGTTTCAAAGTCCAAAGGTTTATTGAGTACAATCTTCCCGCTATATCTGTCTATTGAAAACGTATTGTCTCCCTGAACAATGGCGTACTTAAGGGCAGGATATGTGTCAACGTCATTTGCTGTAACAGATGTCAATATCGATCCGACTTCCGTTCCTGTAAAAACAACGAAATAAAACAGCATGAATAAATTTGGTTTAAAATACTCTCTCGTTTGACTGCCACTTTAAGTATTCGCAAAAAATGCTTTAAAATAAAACCACCGTCGCAGTACAATGATATAAAAACAAAGAAACAAAAAGAGATCGAGCGCAGACCGTTCGTTGGGGAGGCACCGCTAAAACATGCACTCGAAAAAAATGTAATACCGTCCAATAAATATTGATCCTAAAGGAGACCCTTTTATTTAATCTCGTCGCTGGAATCACAAAGTCGCAATGTAAGCCAGTCGTATAGTCGGGAATACAAATTATGTAAAATGCCTCCCTCTTTGTAAAGTGCTTTTTGTTCTACCAATTTATTTCGCAAAGCTATCGGCCGCCCTACACCAATTTAAAAGGGAATACGAAAATGGTAGCAAAAACGTGAATACGAACGTACCTTCTGATATTGAAATAACGTTCGGCGGCGGGAACGTGGGCTGATTGTCGTTAACGTCGACGACGTTAATTCTTAGCGTAGCTGTTCCTGTCATTTGGGGATCTCCTTCGTCTGTAGCAATTACTGTTAACTTATACATTTCTCTTATTTCACGATCAAGCACTATATTTGTTTTAACTGACCCCGAAAATGCCGGTTCAATTATAAATGCATTGTCATGGTTGCCGTCAACAATATGATAAAGGATTCTTGCGTTAGCGCCACGGTCGTCATCCTTAGCGGCAAGTTGTACAACAAATTCGCCCTTTGTATTTCCTTCGAGAACGTTAGCGATATATTGTTGTTGTGTAAATCGAGGAGCGTGATCGTTTTGGTCCAGCAAATTAATTATTACGTCGCAATAAGCGTACAGATTTGGTGTCCCTTCTGTTCGTGCTACAATAACTAGTTGACGACTGGGACCAGGATATGATTCGTAATCTAAATTTGCTGAATCATTTACTCTTATAACACCTGTATTAGAGTCAATGTCAAAAGCATAATGATCGTTTCCGTTTCCAAACTCGTAAATTACTCTTTGTCGTCGTCCATCACTTCTTAATGCCGTTACTTGTAATACTTCTTTGCCATATGCTAGATTTTCTTCAATGGTAACATTATACGTCATATTTTGAAAGTTTAGCGTCGGTGATTGATCACTAAAATCACCTACACGAATTTCTATAAGTCCGATTGAGCTCTGTGGTGGGTTTCCCTTATCTTTCGCAACTACGCGTAAGTGGATAAATTTTCCGTTTTCACTTGCTAAACTTTGAGTTGCTGTAAGGACCCCAGTAGTCGGGTTAATCCTGAATTTATGGTTAGCCGTGTCCAAGAGTTCAAAAAGTATTTCAGCATTGATCCCTATATCGTTATCAGTAGCAGAAACACGCAGTAAACTTTGCCCAGGTGGTGTCAATGTAGCCATTTGTTCTTTAAATGGATATTTAGTGAATATTGGCTTGTTGTCATTAACATCGCTGATGGTAATCTCGACAGATACTCGCTGTGATCGAGCAACGTAACGTCCTTGATCTGTAGCGACAGCTTCAAAGTGATATACGCTAGTTTTTTCTCTATCAAAATATCTGAAATAAAGGAAATTGATATATGAACATAAACCTAATGCACTAAATTAATGAATTCGAGATGTCATATTTGTATTATTATGTAAGAAAAACTTACCCGGTGGTATAAATAACTCCAGTTTTGTTATCTATTCGAAAAAGGCCTTGACTTTCGTTAGCTAATGAGTACACGATTCGTTTATTAAAACCTAAATCGGCATCAGTAGCTCTTACTTTTATAATAGATGTATCAATTGGTGCATCTTCAGGTATGGCTGCTGAATAATGGCCTGTATCAAAGACAGGATCATTGTCATTTTGGTCTTCAACATGAATTGAGATATTACACGATCCTTGTAGAGCTACTGGCGAACCATGATCATATGCAGCAATAGTCAAATCGTATTTTGACTGCGTCTCACGGTCTAATGTTTTAGCTGTAAGCTTTCCAGTTGTGGAATCTATTGAAAATTTGTTTCCATTGTTTCCAGAAATAATACTGTAGGTTATAACACCATTGGCACCGATATCTTTATCTGTCGCTGCTATAGTGTGGATAATCTCAGGTTCATTATTTTCCGGAACGGCTAATGGATAACACGAACCAGGTTTGAATGACGGCGGATTATCGTTGACATCCAAAATACTTATTGACACGGTTGCTACGTCGAAATTTGTACTTGATTGAAAAGTACTAGAATCAGTCACGTAAACTGGAAATATGTACTGATCTGCTTCTTCTCGATCTATTTTGCTTTTAACAGTTACTGTACCAAGACGTTCTTCAATTGTAAATTTGTCATCTGCTAATCCAGGTGGAATCATATAAGTAAGATTTCCTGTAAAGAATAACAAAGTTAAAAAAAAATCTACTAAAAAGAAGGATTATCGTAATATAATTTTTAAAATAAAAACTTACCCATATTTCCTCTAGACGACTTAGCACTTAATCTGGTAACAAAACTACCAGGACGTATGTCTTCGCTAATATTTGCTCTATACATATTTTCTGTAAATCTAGGCGGTATATTTGTCGATGCTTGTAGATTTAAAATTAATGTCATATGAGTTTGTCTTGGAAATGGTACTCCGTGATCAGATGCGGTTATATTTAGCTTATATTGTCCTGAACGTACTTTGGTAGTGTCGGAGGAAAATTTCTTCGATAAAGTCAACTTTCCTGAATCATAATCCAATGAAAAGAAGGCATGATCATTTCCACTAGAAATGTAGTAAGATATTCTACCATTATCACCGGAGTCTGCGTCCACAGCTAAAGCTTGATATAAGACTCCCGATATTGTATTCATAGTTACTGACACTTTATTATTAGAAACAAATGATGGAATATTATCGTTTGCATCTGTGACAGAAATGTGTACAGTTGCTAATGTTGCCATTCTTTCAGATATGTTAGTTGCTAGATCGGTTACTTCAACGATCAACCAAAAATCTTTTATATCTTCAAAGTCAAGTGGCGATGTTAGTGTTAAAGTACCAGTCAAAGGGTCTAGACTAAATATGTTTTTTGATAGTGGTAATATTGAAACGATACGAAAATTTAGTTCTCCATTAGGTCCAGTGTCTGCATCTCTTGCTGTAAAGTTATACACAATCATCCCAACTGAAGTGATCTCAGATACTTCTATGTTAATAGGGTCTTGAGACCATTGCGGTGCATTGTCGTTGACATCAATTATTTCAATTTTAACAGTCACAGCACTGCTTTGAGGATTATTGGTAGCGGAGGTGTCTAAAGCTCTTACTTCCAGTCTATATTCTTCTTGGATTTCTCTATCTAATTCCCTTGCAACGACCAAAGAACCAGTTCGACGATCAATTTCGAAAGTTCCAGGCAAATGATCAGAAGTCAAGGGCATTAAAAGGTAGGATATTTGTCGTTCTTCTTCATTATTTATTGTATTATCTTGTAAATAGCTGTCACAACAAGCAACAGTGCCAACAACATGTCCGATCTTAGCATTTTCTTTGACCTGCAAAAGGAAAATTATTGGTAAGGAAATTACATTACATTAACAATTCAAATAATCAATATATCCTATCAAAAATACTGGCTTACCTTGAATGATAAACTTGAACTTGTAAAAGTGGGTCTATTGTCATTCAAATCTAATACTTCAACTTTTAATTGCCTCACAGTTTGTCTAGGAGGTAGACCGCTGTCTGTCGCTGCTACAGTTAGACGATATATTGATCTTTCTTCATGATCGAGAACTGCAAATATAAAATAATATCACGTTAGTAATTGTAAAACTATAGAATCACTAAATGGTGTAAGGCAATTATTATAAGAATGATTATTGCCTTACCTGTACTTGTTTTAATAACTCCAGTGTTAGAGTCGATAACAAATACGCCATAACCATCCATGTCTCTTTCGTTCAAGATAGAGTACGTTACCGTCGCATTTATACCGTTATCTTTATCAATAGCTTTGACTCTAGCCACTTCTGCTCCAGGTTGTTGTTCTTCTCTCACACTAACAACATCTTCTCTAGGATCAATAATTTCTGGCGAATTATCATTGACGTCTGTAACCCTTATGACTATAGGAACTCTATTTGATCTCGGCAAACTTCCTAAATCTCTTGCTTCTGCAAAAACTGAGTAAGATGATCTAAATTCTCTGTCCAACACCTCTCGTGTAGTTATTATACCTGAAAAAAAAATCAAGTATAAATCGATGAAATTTTACGAATAGGCTTATAGTTATCGTATTAAGTAAACAAATCGTACTAATATTATAAATGCGAATATTTAGATGGATGGATGGATGTTTTTGAAGGATATCCGGCACGTCTCAACGGATTTTGAAGAAATTTGGCAAACCTGTAGAACGTAGTCTGGAAGAACACATAGGCTACTTATTAAAGGTTTTTTTTTAATTCCGCGCGGACGGAGTCGCGAGTGACAGCTAGGTTTACATATTTTATCAACATAATATTTTGACGTTAGGATGTGCTATAATTATTATGTTTATGGAAACGAAACGAATACAGAAAATGTATTATACGAGACTGAAATTAAGTATTCATAAAACGAAACGCTCGCGGCAGAATGTCTATGATTATCCAGCGGACGGCTCCGTATCGGGAACCTAAAACTCGTGATGAAACAGAACTGGAAAGGACGACAGCGTGATTTAACAAAATCGCCACACCGAAAAGCAGTCCTTAACCAATGTCTTTATAGCTGATATTTCCGCAGATCGAGATAAAGCTGTCGAGAGATAATAAGATGTGGCAGAGGGCCTCGTAATGAGCGATTTGAAGCGGCCACTAAAAAAATATTCGTCGATATTTCTCAGCGCAGCAACATAACATATATCGTCTCACTGACGGCGAAGTAAGAAAATATCTTGCACAAGGAGAAGATTTATACCGAAACAAGAGTAACCGAACAAAGTTGAAGTGACGTTATTCAGACTGTCTTTTATTTTTATTCACGATTCATTTAATTTGATCGATGATTTTTATTTTAATTATACTTTAGTGTCATATTATCTCGATTGGGTTCTTAATATATTTTATTAATAAGCCATCGGATTACAACTCAAATAAAAGGTATCTGTGAAGATACGAAGGTAACAAGTCGTAGATCCGGGGGACGTCTTCCATGTACACTTGTAATGTATGAGCTTTAAATACCCGACGACAGTATCTTGGCTTGGCCGAAGCCGTAATAAAACATGGAAGAGAATAGCGAGGTTCCAACATAGCAATATTTTAATAATAGTTAATGGCGGGTCACGGCGCATGCGCGTGCGACGACGTTTATAACTCGAAATTGACGCGCATAAATTCATTGCCTCCTGTTGCGGTTTTACGTTGAGATTTGTTTTTTTTCTTACATTCTTATTTTAAATACATTAAAAAAGACATTCATAATTTGTAAATTGTAGGTGTAAAATGTATGTATGATATAAAAGCAATATCCTAATGGTTGTACTCGTATTTCCAGGTTTGGAAATCTGACTGCTTGTTCTGATTTCAAACTCGATTCTATCGTATACAGTTGTCATTGAGAATGATTTAGGAATATCGGCCATTACCGAAGTTAAAGTTAAAGACGCACTAACTAGCGCGTGGGGTGTTGATATTCGTTATTCCAAATTGAGATGAAAAGATTCTACTATTCATCAGTCAGTTAAGGGAGTCGATACCCGCCTGTATTCTCGCATCTTTTGTGAACATCCATATGTAGATGGGAAAAACTCACGATGCATTCAAGATTAGCATATTCACAAACAAATTTGGTCATAAAAAGCCACCAATAGCTTCAAAGAACATGACTTCTAATTAAATTATATTATAATTCTAATGTATGTATCATCGAATAAAGAAATCTATCTATAATAGCATACGATATTCATGGGTATTGAAGAGCAAACACCCTCTTCACACTGATCCCTTTTCCTTTAAATTGTTCAAGAATTAATGTGGATGTATTTACACAATCCGTTTGCTCAGTTGACGAGTCTTAAGCCACAACACACTTTGGGTTTTAGCTTTCAAAAGTGCCGGCAACGCAAACAATGCGCCGAGAGGTTGGGTACTGTACAGCGAAATAGTTCTTTGGCTAATCAAACACTAGTAAGGACCCTCGACTTATTGGTATTACGGTAACGCATTGTCTTAACACAGCAAATGCAACAGCATTAGCTATTTTATTTATTCTTATTCTTGTTTACTAAACAACCTAAAATATACAGAATACGCAACATATTTTGTCCATTTCTAATATAAAATGAAACGAAATCTTAACTATAAACAACGTTTTGTAAACAATTACTTAACTAAGCTGTTAAACATTTGCATAAGACTCTAGGTATCAAAATAAATACTCACCAGAAACTGGATTTACGATAAAACTGGTATTTGATGGAAAGAGATTATATCTCACTACAGCATTGTCACCCAAATCGGCATCAGTCGCAGATATTTTGCCTACAAACGCTCCTGCCTTACGATTCTCTTCGACTTGGAACTCATAAGACGCTTGAGTAAAAACTGGATCATTATCGTTTGCATCAATTACATTCACAACTAGACTTGCGCTGGTTGAAAGTGACGGGATACCGTTGTCCGTCGCAATTATAGTCATCTTGTGTTTTGCTGCTGTCTCTCTATCTAGAGGTTTGGCGAGGTAAACCCAACCAGTAGTTGGTTGGACGTTAAAATACTCTTCATTTGTGTTATTTTCTGATAGTATTTTATATGTTATTCGAGCGTTATTACCAGTATCTTTGTCAATAGCTTGGATTTCTAATATCTGAAAAAATGTACAAGTTTAGTAATTCGACTAAATTAGAATTTGACTTTTGACAATTTTGAAATAGTTATTCTTTACTTACTTTTGATTTTACTGCTTCAGACTCTAGAACATTAGCACTGTAAGTATCATGTTCAAAAACTGGTGCGTTATCATTAACATCTTGTACGTCTACTACTAATGTTAAATTGGCACTTAGCGGCGCTGTTCCTCCGTCTTTAGCAGCAATGATCAATGTATGTCTCAGTAGATCTTCGTAGTCCAAAGGCCTGATGAAAATAAATGTAAATATTATTATTAGCTGGTTTTAAAATTCATAAGTTAATAGTCAAATGACAGAAAATCTGCATTAATTACCTTAATAAAGTAACCAATCCGTGTTGTGAATTCACGGCAAATGTGTTTGGTGGTCCGGTGGCAGATAGCAGAGTGTAAGTGATCTGTCCATTCTTTCCTTCGTCTTCATCCGTGGCTCTGGCTGCGTAGACAACTGACCCTACAGACGCAGACTCAGCAACTGATACCCTCACTGAAGATGTTCCAAATTCAGGGGCATTGTCGTTTACGTCTTCTAATGTTATTTGAACCTGTAAAAAGAAATGAAACCCGGATTCAAATAAAAGTTTTTATATTTAATAATCTATTTTATAGCAGTGTTTCGAAGTAGTTAGCTTAATAATTACACGACCTATGAATAAGCATACAGCGTGAGGTAACACTAACCTGAGTTTGATCGTAGCTGGCTGGATTCCCATTAGCCGCTCGAACATTCAACAGATATGACGAGGTGACCTCCCTATCCAGTTGTGACGCCGTCCTTATGGCACCCGTATGGGGTTCAATACTAAAATGATGGTCGGGGTCTCCTGACACTATACTGTACCGGACCAGGTGTTTACCTGAAAAAATAAATTATAAATTACATTGTCACAGGGTTTAATAAGTCTGTAATATTAAATAGGAATAAAATATAGTTAGGTATATGTGTATACATTAGAGTAGTTTTCTTTGTTTAAATACGAACGGAAATTATATTTTAAAATACAATGAATAACAATTTAAGTCAAAACACGGTAAGTACGAGACTGAACAAGTATACTAGATACTGTGATAGGTTTCTGTGATTTTCATACACCGGTTTTATCCATAAAATGTGTACCAGTAAAATGCAACTTTCATTCTATAACTGCATTATTTCTATCAAAATTTTAATTGGCACTTTTCGGGCGGTATAAGCGATTCAATGTCGTCGGCCATTTTTTTTTCGGGTCGTCCATTTTTTGCGGCCGAGTTTTTTCGCCGGCCGTTTTGGGCAGATCGGTTGACGGTAGGAGATTGATATACTGACTTATTCACCGACGTTCTCGGCAGTCTTTGTCCCTGTAACAGGTCCCTAGCGAGCTCGCTCCCTCCCCGGACCCGTCCCGTCACCCCGATGTCCCTTTGTCTTTCCTCTTTATACAGCCGGTGACGCGACTTCGTCTTATTTTCGGAGATTTTACGGGGCCCGCCTTTAATGCGGTGATCGGTGTTTGTTTTCGCTTTGAGATTTTTCGGTGTTCTTATGTGTGTTGCTATGGATGATTTTCGATTAATAAAATCAGGAATTTTGCGATCGCAGATATTGATGTTTCAAAGTTTAGTTAATAATACAGTAAACGTACTTTTATATGTTTGTGTATGGAACTTTTTCTTTCCGAAAACTTTTTCTTCATTGTTTTAACAGTTTATCATTTTATCAATACCACATGTAGTCGAACCATCACATACTCCAAATGTTCGAATAACACTATTTGCAATCTGACTCACATTACATGCTAGTTTTTAATTGTTAGCTATCCTAACGAATTCATTTGTAAATCTTTCAAGATGGAGTATAGTTGTTTTTGTTTCTTAATTGTTAGTTACGGAAGCTTTTGGATAATTATCCTGCGAGTGCAATAGAATCATCGCAATGTATTTTTTTGACTGGAGCTCATTAAAGACAGTGGCAGTGCGGTCCGCCGTGGCTTACCTGTCCCACGTCATTACGAAAATTTATTCGCACTCGTTCCTCTAAATTGCAATCATTAATGCCGCCGCCGATTATCTGGCTCACGCGCCAACACCGACCCTCAATTAAGACTTGTAAAGATCTTCTATGTGAATTGTTACGATCTCCGATTTCAGTTAAATGAATTAATTATCTTAAAGTTCGATTATCTCCGGCCTTTAAATGCCATACGGAATGAACCTGGGAAAGTGCATTTATCTAGCATCTAGCATCGCAACGATATCTTTTAAGAACTGTATCTAGGGCCGAGTCTCATTCTGCCGCAGCGGCCGCGAAGGTTAATTATATGGAGATAAATAAGACCAAAGGTTAATTTGGAATTCTATCGATAGTGAACGATAATAAAACAATAACAACCAATAATAGTCCGCATTGGTTTAATTATGTCTAATTGCTTTGAAGTACATACTGCTTCACATTCTTGACGTGAGATTCTTTTAAAACATCGTGGCTTTCGAGTTTGTTAAAGATATAATTACATAAACCGAAGACGTACCATCGTCAGCGATTCAGAACATTTAATACATAAATCGTGTAAACAATTTCAGTCCCAACTTCCAAATAACGCGGCGTAAAAAGTTTTAAAATAATTGAGGTGCAGGGGTTTCAAAAAAGAAGTCTAGAAGGGCACCGACAAAAACTGTCGTTGCGAGAGAGGTTTGTTGACCTGCATTGGATTTATTCGGCCGGTTGCCGCGCGCCCGAGCCCCGGCCGTATCCTTGGATTTCTCGGGGATTCGAATTTCAAATTTTCAGCGACGGGCAAAAGAAAGCGTGAACCAGATCTCGATTGAACGGCGTAAAAGAATCAATCGTCGTGTGTCGATTAAATAGCACCTACTAGTTTTCAATAGATTGGCTCGCGGGTCATAAATTACATCGACTGCGTGTGGTCTAACGGAGTGCTGCTGAGACTCAATAATATAATTAAATCGAACTTTGATTAGAAACACACCTACTGTACCGAAGTTAACGTGTTGTGTAACTGTTTTTCGTATTTCATCTATAGTGAATCATAACTGTCCAGTAACGGACGGTAAGACGAATAGCAGCCGGAGTAAATTAAATTACATAGTATTAGGGCTCTTAATACATTGCTCTGGGAAATCGAAAGGTAGTTCTGACGCTATTTAAATTCCTTTTGATTAGGAAAGAACTGTAATAAGGTGGTACAACTTAAAGAAGAAATGTCAAGACAAACCTAAATATATGTGTATTTTTTCGTATATGTCTGATTGCAATCTATTTCATTTTAGTATTTATCCAATCGTTTGTAATTTTACAAATTATTGTTAGAATTTATGATATAAATAAAAAAAACAGTTCATGGGACGTCCTATAAATATAATTCTACTAATTAAATTAAACGTTAAAAGTGATAAAAGTAAAATATTTAATGTGAGGGGAAGTGGTCGTGCAAGTTTTCCGATTTATGACATAAGTTCAAGTGAACACATACGTCTTAATGGTCATAAAATGATATATTTTTTTAATTAATTGATGTTTATCTCGAGGCGAATAGCTCATAAATCGGATGAGGGCGTGCGCATGAACATTGGCCTTAAATGTTATACCGCTCTTTCTAATTAAATACGGGATAGGATGGACCTAAAGTGTAATTTGTAAGAAGATAGTGTACAAGAGCTTTGGAAAATTATGAAACAAAAGCAATAGTAATTTCCAGGCGGTAGGAAATTGTCAATACCGTAGTGCCCTATTACATATTAATGGAAAATTGTTACCCAGACGTCTGATTAACGCTGTGATGTCTTTAAGGTGCGCGCCCATTGGCCCGCAACTGATTACTTATTGATAAATGCCATACGATGGGCAGCGCTATGTAAAATCATAAAAGCAAATTAAAATCCGTTGCGGGCCGTGCGTGCGGTGCATCTGGTGGGACAATGGACGCGAAACTTCAGTCGTCATTTGTTTTAAAAGCGAATCGCTTTACGCTTGCACCATGCAGTTGTTGAGTTTAAATTTCAAATAGGTATTTTCCTATTGTAGAGATTTAATTTGCAATAACGTTTTTTTACAATTTATTTATAACATGCAGTAATACGAACTGTAGCTCAGAATCATTTGCAATCAATGTATACTTTATAATAGCGGTCTTGTTGACTGTCTTTAGAATGATTTATGGTGTGCACGACACCTTGGCATAGGGTTTCCGGGGAGAATCGATATTTTCATACGTGCTGATAACATTTAGTGAGTTATTGGTGCGATTTGAAACCGATACTGCGTTATCGATGGCGAATAAATTTGTAGACACAATTTAGTAAAGCGAACATTTATTTCGGTTCGGCAATTAATTTGTGTAGTCACTTATACTGGAAGAAAGTGTTTTTAACTATGTTTGTTTTATTAAAAGTGACATTAAGAATCTTACTGAAGCCAAGCCATAGTCTCAGTTTTTGAGTCTGTCACTAATGATTTAAATATAAATTTTCACTAAATCTACACATATAAAAGAAAGTCGTGTTAGTTACTCAAGAACGGCTTTACCGATATATCTGAAAATTGGTGAAGAGGTAGCTTAGAGCCAGGAGACGGACATAGGATACTATTTCTTCTTTTTTTCTCGAATTTATGCCTTGAAGAGCTGCTTTTTATTTAACTTACTAATATTATAAATGGGAATGTTTAGATGGATGTGATGTGGATAGTGTGTTTAAAGATATCTCTAGAACGGCTGAACGGATCTCGATTAAATTTGGCATACGTATAGAATATAGTCTGAAAGAATACATAGGACGGAGTCGCGGATGACAGCTGTACTAGTTGTATAAAATACCAGTAAAGTCTTTTCAATCTTTGTATAGTTATAAATGTTAGATATTCAGCATAAGGAGTGTGGTCCATTTTATATTAAAAACAATACATAATGCCTGTAAAGTATGAATCTCGGTCTGCTATCTCATAATACAACAATGGGGCTGCAATAGCGGAATTCTCACAGACAAGTGCGACGCGGTATAACGGTGAAGTTTGCAATTCAGTGATTTACAGAGCCGCTGCTTGCAACAGAATAAACGTGAAGTTGTATGAAACGGCCGCCTCTTACACCGTTGTAGACTGAACGAGATTTTAGAATATTTTTAATTATTTAATTTCTTACATTTGCAATACAAAAAGGAAAGAGCGAAAAATGTCACAAATGCGGACAGTATTTGGAATATAAAGCTCGCTACATACGTTCAGTTTTTACTGAAAAGTCGAATTAATCAGTTAAAACTACCAGCATAGCTACACCAAACAGGTTGATTGCCTTCTTTTAGAATCTTTCTTACTATATTAATATTATATTAGAAATGTAAATGTTTGGATGGATGGATAGATATTTGAAGGTATCTCCAGAACAGCTGAACGAATCTCGATGAAATTTGGCACACATATAGAACATAGTCTGCAAGAACACATAGGCTACTTATTATTTTTTTTACGAACGGAGTCGTGGTCGACAGCTAGTAATAACATTAATCAAACTACTGTAGAGTTCTAAAAACACAATTATATTTTATACAATTAGGACTAAAATTACAATATTCATTACATACTTTAATTATTCAAATATATAAACAATGTACTGAATAGTCCCACATTTTGATATAGCATCGTAATGACGGACACATAGTTATTTGACCTTCAGATTACGGCATCCGAGCAACAAACCAAACCTTATTATACACGCTAATTGAATTTCGAGACGTGCATTTTAATGCAAATGATTTGAGTAGTTTTATTACCAGTTTTAGTCAATTATAACTATAATTTTAAGATCGAATTTGAATTCTTTATAGCTTATAATGCTGACAAACGGCAGGTAACTTTTATATGACGAACTAATTAAAGGTGAAGTGAGTTTAAAGGTAATTGATAAGCTATTTCGAATGTATTTCGTTTTAAAATAATGTAATTGTTGAGCGTTGATTTATGAATTCGTGTTTTTCTTGTTATTTTAATGTAACCGAAGTTTACACGATGTTAGATAAATTTGATTTGAATGAAGAGTGCATTAAGGATAGTCTTGTCTTATCCTATTTTCAAATTAATCTTATTTTAATTCATACCATTGTTGTTGATTTTATACTGCAGTACGGTGTAACGGTAGGAATCAAAGAATAAATATTAGTAGAACAACAACCTCTCGGAGTGAGATAGCGACTGTACTTTATTGACTTCATTTTGATTTATCAACGATGTTTCAATGAATCTATGAAATTATAATCTAAAACTAATGTCAATACTGAAGCTTGTTAAATGATTACATTGTAACGGGAAAGTCTGATTTAATATATATATTAATAAAACATTAATTTAAAACAGCCCATGTAAGATAATGCTAAAACCCAACAGACTGATTGTAAGTAACATGCGTTATTTTACGAAAATATTCAAAGTCAAACTGAAACTTTAGTTACTTACATCTTCTAATACAGTTTACTTATCTTGCTAATATTATAAATGCGAAATCGATGGATGTTTGTTTGAAGGTATCTCCAGAAAGGCTGAATGGATCTCGATGAAATTTGGCATAGATACAGAACATAGTCTGGAAGAATACGTAGACTACTAATTAATTTTTTTAGTCTCGTGTGGACGGAGTAGCGGGCGACAGCTAGTATTGTATTAACTATAGTATGATTAGATGATTTCTTTACATTTTTACTTCTTAACTTTTAGATTTGTTAAGCATTTAATTATTTAACTACGATACATTTATTTCTGTATCTTTTAATAATCTCAAATCAAACGTGTAAATTTTTGGAATCGATATAAATTTGTGTGATTCGTAAAACTGTATTTAAAGGTTATTTTAGGTGTTTCTGCGCTCACGTTATTGCCAAATTCAAGCATTTACGTTGATGTTTCTTTGGAACTCGTAGCAATTAATAAGATACAATGTTGCATCGGAATTGCAGGTTTTTATATCCTCAGAACATGCAAGTGCATTGTTTAGTAATAAAATAAGTATGCCTTTAGTCTTTATTCCTGGAGACTAAGTATCTTCTTCTTTCTTAATTTATGTACCTTTTAAATGTATTCATTTGGTTTTGCTTATTTCTATAATAATTATTAGTTACTTTAACTAGTAATCTACACTCAATTCGAAAATATTTTAAGAAACTTTTATCTACAGCTTAGTATTTTTGTGAAGACTTTTAATAACTGACGCCCGTGGCTCCCTCTACGCGGAAATGAAAAAAAAACTTAACGAGTAATGTTCTTTGACACTATGTTCTACATCTATGCCAAATTTCATCAAGATCCGTTCAACCGTTAAGAAGATGCCTTCAAACAAACATCCATCCATCCATCTAAACTTTCGAATTTATAATATTAGTAAGAAGTCAGATTATGTACTCAGATATTAAATTTAAAAAAATCGCGTAAACACAAACTTAAAAAAACCCGTTGCAAGAAAACATAATTTCGCTATTCCTTACTCAATCATAAATCGCGAGACACGTGCTTTGATTGTTAAATACGAAATACAAAGCGATGTTATAAATGTGGAAGGGAAGTTACAATGCACACATTCGTGATTCCACCAGGACAATAGGCGATTACCTATTTGTGCATACATCCACACTGTATGGTGCAAACGAGAAGCGATCGCGAAGTGTTCAACTGAATAGCTTCTGTATAAAATTGTCATTTGTATTAACATTACCAAGTCACGACTATTGCATTAGGGAGGACTTGAACTGAACGTTAAAATGACCTTTTATACACATTTTACTCATTTAATCTTAATTATGGCGTTAAAATTTAATTCTCATTGGATTATTGATAACGTGGATATTAACTTGTCAGTTCCTTTCTAAGTTTTCTTTAGTTTTAAGTATTTATTTAATTGGATTTGCTTGTTAAGGTTACTTAAATCTTACTTAATATCATAAATGGATGGATGTTTGTTAGAAGGTATTTCCAGAACCGATGCATGGATGTTGCTGAAATTTGGCATAGATGTAGAACAAAGTCTGAATGAGCACATAGGTTGCTTATTAAGTTTTATAATTAAGCTAGAGAGATAGCTAGTCTTTATTAAATTGGTTTTTAAATCAGTTCATATTGTTTTACACGATAGTGGAAATAAAATTTATGATAATGCATGTCCATTTGAACGCTACAGTTTGTAAATTAGATGCGTACTAATGTGGAACGATTTCGATAAATTTGTTAAAGCGAAATAAAGCTATAACGTAATTCGATTCAACGGTAGTTAGATCTACTCTAACATTAATATTTACTCTGTCTCTAAGTGACTTTCTTTGTATGTAATCTTAAACGTTTATTTGTTTGTTTGCCTACGAACCTTTCTACCTCTGGAATGCTATTGAATCAGTGTATTGTGTATACAAACGTTTTTGACATCATTATTCTTGGCTACTTTAACGTACATTGTTCTATAGTTATAGTTGGATACTCAGAAGTTAAATAAACATTGTTAAATTAAGAAAAAGATACTATAGTTAGTTTAATATAAAAAATCTTACCTCCAGCAGTAGCTTTCAAGTTGCCAACAATTGTTCCACTTCTCACATCTTCTCTGACTCGGAAATTGTATCGCGGTTTATCAAATAAGGCTGAGCCAACACCAGTGGGCATCACATTTACATGTACAGTAGCACCTTGAGGCGCAGTGAGTCCACCGCCATCTGTCGCCGAAACTTCCAAATCAAATTTTCCATTTGATTGTATCAAAGCTGGCTTTGTAACGAATATTTCCCCCGTACTTCTGTCTATTCTAAACACATCATTATCGTTTCCGTTGATTATTCTATAAGTAACGGTTCCAAATCTCCCTGAATCAGCATCCGTTGCGGTGACAGCTACGATCGGTTCATTTGACGATATCCTGCCTTCTTTTAAAGATACATTGTAATCTTTAACAGTGAATGCGGGAACGTTGTCGTTTATATCGAGAAGTTGGATCTTCACCATAGCGGTCGTGGACAGGCCCCCTGCGAATATATAAATAATTGGTCTTTTGATTGTTTGTGTATTGTTGTAATGTTATGTTTAATTGACAGCCGCTTGATTTATGCTGATGTCAACGTTTTCTCCGTGTACGAGTTTTGTGATATCAACTTGAACCGCGAGCTGGTACTTGGCAATAATTTAATTGATGCATATTCTTTTAATGCGATTGCGAGTAAACCAGTTTTCACTGCGTTTCGACTTTACATTGCACGATGACAGGAACGAGGAAACGGAATGGATTTAACTGATTAACGAGAATCCTTAGCGTGGAGACAAGAAAACACAAATTCTTGAAAATTTATTGCTATCAAAGCACCCTTGAAATAAGATATGTTTTACTTTGTCTAGATTAATCTTAGTGGTATAATTAAAAGGTATATCGTATTAGAAACTTATTGTTACTTTTCTAAACTAAAATTATACGACTTTCAATAATGTGTTTTAATTTACCCAGAAATGTTGTATCTTGGCAGAGTAAAGTGTAACGTTTAACCAATTTTGTAAAATAAAGACGCTTGTTTACCTATTGAAATTACTACCGAAATTTCCTTTCCCAGGCAAAGGTTTGCCGACTGTCGCCTCAGATTGGGGAGAAATAAAAAGCCGAGGTATGTAATAGTTGGACGGTTCGCGCCCCATAAATCAGCTGGTAGTAGAGACAACAGCCGACGGACGCTTTCGGAATTTATTCGCGACTTGCTGCGTCGTCGGCGCTTTATTTTTGTAACTCTGCATATGGATTTATAGTTTACAATACTTCCACCTGTCAGTATTATTTTACAATTTCTTCTTTTATAGACATTTGAAAGAAATGTTTATCATTTTAACATTTATCCTTTTGTTGTAAGATGATATACGTTTATGTCTGCGATTATGAATATCTACAACTTTTATAAAAAGTTACATAAAAATTTACATATATGAATTTATATGATAATAGTCGGTTCTTTTAAAACACACGTGTACACTGTGACATTCAAAACATAATTCTGAGTCTGAATACATCACTTATTACCAGAATGACATCAAGATATATCAAGTAGCTATTGTCCTTGATGTGACGTATTACTTTGCGACATAATACGATCAATAAATTTGACAAATACAACAGACAATGTAGGCCACAATAAGGATTGTTATATTTCTCACACTTTAAACATCTTATGCAGTAAGTGGCTTACCTCTATCAGTAGCAACAACTGGAAATTCGAAGTCACTGTTGAGTTCATGATCCAATGGTGCGGCGACGCAGAGTTCGCCTGTATCTGGTCGCATGGCGAACAGTGCTCGCAGTAACGCTTGTTCAGGCAGCGTGTAGTTGACGATCGCGTTCACACCGCAGTCTGGGTCGATTGCTGACATCTGTGAAATAATAGATTGATGTAAGTACAAATCTAGTACAAGGATCTTACAATTTTATCTTACTAATATTATAAATGCGAATGTTTGGATGGGTATTTGTTAGAAGGTATCTACAGATCAGCTCAACAGATCTCGATGTAATTTGGCATACACGTAGAACGTAGTCAGGAAGAACACATAGGGATAATATAACGAAGGGTTGGTTATATTTCTAACCAAAGAGAAACTGAGATTCGTATATCATTTGTTTAATTTAAAAGCGTCATAATTTTTATGCAAATATTCATCAAAAAATGCACGTGTTATATCAAAAATATAAATAACGAATTACAAACATTTTAAAGCAATTTTTATAAGGTTGGCGTTAAATCTTAAAATAATTTGATTACCCAAACAAAGTTGATTAAATCTAAAGTTAAATCATTAAATAGCAGTTATATTTAACATAACTGGTAATTTTCTTAATCCCAACAAGATATCAATTACTTCACCACAAACTTTCTACAGCTAACCGTTTGATAAGGATCATGAATAATTAGAATCGCTTAGATCATAACGTAATAATCAAGAAGTTGTGGGGTCCTTATTATAAAGAGAGTTCTATACATATTGTAGAGCTATGGAATTCTATTACCCTATAGTTCCTGATTGAATGCTTAACGGTAACCGAGTTGTATTGTTTAATGTTCAAGCGGCAAAAGGTTATTTGCAATACGCAAATTGTAATTTGTCTGTTATGAAGATAATTGATAATTTAATTTATTTTAAAGGTGCTAGACCTCTTTTGAACTAATAAATACTGTCTGGAAATACTGTCGACCAATAAACTCTGAATACTGGTTCTAAATGATAGTTATGATTAAAAAAAATGTATATAATGTGTAAAACTATCTGTCGCCCGCGACTGTCCGTGCGGATTTAAAAAATAGTATCCGATTCTTAGACCTATTGAAACTCAGATATAAAAATTCATAAAAATCGGTCAAGCCGTTTCGGAGGAGTATGGCAACAATTGACACGAGAATTTAATATTGGTATAACAAAATCCGAAGTAATTTGCTCTGTGAGGTCTCAGAGTCGCTATTGTGGAGTGGTCATTATTAGCGCTCCTTTTAAAAATAAACGAACGATCAACGTAGGTGTTAAGTGATCGAAAAAACGAAGATAAATAAAACACTGTCGATAATTAGCAAGCAATCATCTTTTTCTCTTTATCAAGCGAATACTATGTATAGGATACAACGAACAGTATTTTCTACTTTAACCAGTACATTCGATATTAGCCTTTAACTTTCTAATCATAACGATTTAAATTGCATGCAATTTATTGACAATCTTTGTAACCGAAGCCGGGGTTCGTACATGACAACGCATGCTGATTAATTGCTCCGGCGTTCAGTGCTAAGATAAATTGTCGTTCTTGCAAAATCAAAGGCGTTTCAAGGGACATTCCGTTTTATGCGTTACTATTTAAGTATTATAATCCATTGGCATCGATTGGTAAAGTAAGTATCAGCCATTTACACGTAAATTCTCCTGTTGTCTTTATTCGTTTATATATATTACTTTCATCTCATATGAAGCGACCAGTATCATTTTCATCATTGTTTCCTCGTTAATGTCAACGTAAGAATCTTACTAATATTATAAATGCGAATGTTTGGATGGATGAACGGATGTTTGTTTGAAGGACTGAACGGATCGCGATGAAATTAGGCATAGATGTAGAACATAGTCTGGAAGAACACATTAAGGTATTTTAAGCCGCGTGGACGGAGTCGCGGGCGACAGCTAATAGCTTTAAGAATTAAGTTAGCAACAAAAAAATTACAGATTTAAGACATTATTATTGACATTCAAGAATGTTTTATTCACAACTCCTAACATAGCTGATAAAATTTACAGTAGAGAATTGTTACCTGAAGAATTTACTTGAGTTCCACAATCTTAATAAAGTCATGGCTAAATTGTTTCAATTAATTTTAATAAAGCTATTATTTATGTAAACTTGGCTCTCACGTTTTGTTATAAATATAATAATCTTATTTACTTAGATAATAAATAGATAAAAGTAACTAATTTAAATTAACTTTATCAATAAAAATCTACAATTTGAACTATTCTGTCTGTAGGCTTCTGTAGCAGCGACAGTAATATTGTTGTCTCTGTTTTATGTAAGAGAATGAAAGAGAAGAAAATGCAATGACAGGATCGATGAGTAAATTTAAATACAGTTCTAAATTCAAAAAACAATTTCCCGCGTTCATTATTCCTTATATTTAAAAAGACAAAAGACATTCCAGTTTGTATTTTAAATGCAATGGCTTGTCTATACGAGTACAGTCGGCCAGTACAATCAGCTTACAAATTGACAGTTAAACTGAACAATAAAAACAAAAAGCGAACACATCCGATGAAACAAAACGTATGGGTTTTGTTTCGTTCATTTTGAAATGCACAAGTAGTTTGCATATAATAATGCGGTGGAACAATAAATCTTGTTCACGTGGTAGAGAAATGAACAACAAACAAAATAGTGATATCCATTAGTAATATAAAATATATACTAATGTTTTATGTATATTTGTATGGAAGAATATGTTAACCTAGTTATTACAATTAATATCGATTTTTAAAATTGAAAATATTTAATCGATTTTTTTTTAAATTTTAACAATTAACTTTTCATTTCGTATAAAGAAAACACAACTTTGATAATTTATTTTTAGCCGACTTCAAAAAGGAGGCTATCAATTCGTCTGTATGTTTTTTATGTGTGTTGATTTTGAAATTATTTTTTAAGTTTGCTTTACCGTTAGTAAAATAATCTTATTAATATTATAAATACGAATGTTTGGATGGATTTTTTAGAAGGTATAGAATCTCTGTATGGATCTAACTGATATTTGGAGGCCACTGAAACTATTTACGTTTTTATTTCGCGCGGACGTAGTTGCGGGCAACAACTAGTTTTGAATATTGTACATTGTTAAGAATAAATTTATGACTCCGTACCACATGTAAAGAACTAGCCAATAGTAATATTTTTATCTTCTACATTCTCTACTGCCATATATAAACATCTTAAGTCACAAAATAGACATTCTTAACTCGCCAACATTTCAAAATATGACGGCAAAGATAACACAAAAGGCGGCTAATACTAAAGTTAAGTTGTTTATATTTAAATTTGCAAGTCTGACTGTACCTACTACTTCAGTAAAAAAGATAAAAGCAACCGTCGTAAGATTTATTGCATACTTTCTGCAACATATCGAGTATTTAAAAACCTTATCAAGAAATGTAACGGTGACTCTCACGCGTCTCAATTAGGTATTTTATCGATGCAGACATTTTTTCTGCATTTCAAAATCATATTGAATGATTAAAGTTGATTTAATTCGGTCTTGTCATCGAGAAATTGATTTAAAATTTACTCTCGTGAATTTGAGAATGAAGTGTTATTAATCAGATGTATTTTTTTTTCTGAGAACGTCGGTTGCTCAGGGTTAAACACTTGACTTATCTGCAGGTCCTGTATTCGAATCCCGCTATATACCAATGTGTTTTTTCGATTTATATAAGTACATTTATCCGACGTTCTTACGATGCAGGAAAATATCGTGATGCAACCTGTACAAATCTGCGAAGAAATTCAAAGATGTGCAAAGTCAATCCGCACTTGACCGTAGTTGACTATGCCATAGTCACCCATGATAGAGTAAGTTCCAAGCCCCTTAGTGGGGATTATAGTGAGCTGATTATATTATTTCTGCCAACATTTAAAAATTATAATAGTCAAGTAAAATGTGTATGATGTCTAGTTTTATTAAAAAAACAACATTGCAAATATCAGCGAGTATTCGCCAGTTCAAAATCCAAGAAAATTTAAATTCAAGAGTTGCATTCAACTCTCGTATCACCTAAATAAAACAGATGCTTTATTTACTCGACGCAAAAACGTATAAATAAATTATATGTAAGAAAAATAATAAAGATTCTCACTCAGTTCAGTTTACTTCGGTCGTAGTAAAGGTTTTTTTGTAATTCTTTTTTTTTTTTTGTGCGGCGCTATGCCGCCCTCTCGTTCCCCTAACATGGCGATCAGGGACTTTGGGATGCAAGATTCTTTATTAGTTTATTAAAAAAATTTAAAAACCAATAAATTACAAAATTTCTTAAAACTATTTACAACTGTTTTTTTTTTTTCATTCAAATTGATTGGCACACAATAATGGAAACAAAAAGCCATTTAAAAATGGTCCGCGTTCAAAGGAAAAAGGTATTGGCGACAGTAGTCGAGGGAGCAAATAAAATTGTTGGTGGACAATACCAGGGTTGGCCTCGAAAGGATTTGTTGCTATTAGTTATATTATAAATAGGCTATGCAATTATAAACCTTACCCAATGAGATTAAAGTATAAATTCCTAAACGTACTACTGTTTTGGTAATTTAAAATATTAGTTGTTACCGTTATTCCTTTCTAGATAAAAAATAAAGCATAATAAGAAATTATGTGGTAAAAATAGTATTAACATTATTCAAAAAAGTTTTAAGAAAACCTTGTAATTGTAGAACAAAGTAAAAACAAATATAGATTCTATATCAAACAAATTGAGGTATAACTCCTTTCAAATATGTTGACGGCCAAGGTCATTGTCACGGATTTTCTTCAACCCGTTGTAAAATAAAAAGAAGCCGAGCAGTAACAATATTTTCGGGTGCATCAGCTACCTTCAAAGTCCAAAGTCAAAATCAGTTCAGCCGTTCTAAAGATTACACGGAACAAACGCGGCCTTGCGGACAGACAGACAGACAAAAAATTTAAATATTGGTTTTTCATTATCAGCACCGCAAAAACATCATATCTACAAAATGTTTTTGTCTGTATTACATACAGACTACAATTTCATTGATATACTAGCTGTCGCCCGCGACTCCGTCCGCGCGAAATTAAAAGAAAACTTTTGGTCGCAGCGTAATGTTATATAGCCTAAAA